CTGAATATTGAAATGTAATGTTTAATTTATGTTAATGATTATCCTATATAATGTAGCATTTTTTATGTTATCAATGCTAGTTGTATTTTTCATTCTTCAATGCCATAGTTACTGTTATATGCATTTGATTCTATTTCTGATGTATCCGGAGATGCATCTCCGTAACGTTTATGGAGACACATTTTCGGAAATAAAATAGGCAAAATTTTGATGCGTGACTCAATATTAGCATGTCTTGTTTGTGTTTGGGGTACGTCGGAAAATATATCTCTAAAATCAATGAGTATTTTAGGATTTTTACTAGGGTGTTGTAGTAATACATATGGTGCATTAAGATATCCCCTTGTCAAGAATTACAATGAAGTCGACATAAGCTCTGGTATTAATGTTTTGTGGTATTGGAAAAAATGAACTGGTTTCATGTCTAATCTCACTAAAAGGTGCATGAGTAATTGTTCCCCAAAAGGCAAAAACGTGGTGTACTTAGCAGAAGGTAAAAACAGGTTGTGGGTGCATTTTTTCAGTTACTATTTGGCCACAACTTGATGTAAATATTATAATTAGTGTTGTTTGGATTCAATTAGTCCATCATTTGGTTGGAAATAATTCAAATTAAACACTAAACATCCCTAATTGTGTGACATGACAGCATAATGGCAGAGGTTATAAAATGGTTTGTCTTTGTTGCCTTTCTATTAATGGTCATTGAAAATAAAATAAAAGCATTATTGTTAACTATCGTCTATGATTTGTCCTTTTTTTTAAAATGTGCATACGTGTAAAAATTTACATGGTATTTTTTGCTTAATTTTAATTTGAGAAATACGAACGAGAGTCCGCGGACACTGATTAAGAGATTAAAATGGCAAGTTGAACATTATTTAAGAGATTGAAAAGACATGTTTTATATATATATATATATATATATATATATATATATATATATATATATATATATATATATATATATATATATGTGTGTGTGTGTGTGTGTATTCAATGCTATGAAAAGAGAAATAATCAGATTTAAAAAAAAATTAGGCGTATTGAATGAACTGAACATAACAAATTTTTTTAATTTAAAATTCTTAACCAGTATCCTTAGGGCATTGATTAGCATGATCCTTTTTAAAAAAAATATTAGGTGTATTGAATGAACTGAACATAACAAATTTTTTTAATTTAAAATTCTTAACCAGTATCCTGAGGGTATTGATTAGCATGATCCTTTTAATTTCTATTTAACTTATTTGTTATTGTTTTTGTTTGTGTGAAATTATGTTATTTCATTCTCTATTTTATTTAATTGAAATTTATTTTATATGATTATATATTAATTATGCAAAAAAAAAGATTATATATTAATTGTATCGATCACATTTATCATATATATATATATATATATATATATATATATATATATATATATATATATATATATATATATATATATATATATATATATATATATATATATATATATATATATATATATATATATATATATATATATATATATATATATATATATATAATTTAAATTAAGATCAAAATCAATAAAAATATACATTTATATTTTAACATGTGTGTGTAATAAAAAACAGAAAAATAAATGAAAGTATGGGTTTGAACGCTAATAATGATTAAAAAACCTAGTTATTAAAAATAATATTTTAGTCACATCTTTCAAGACACTTATTTCCTTCCTTATCATAATAACATTGTCTTTCGAAACTTAATTATAGCTCTATTTAGTAAGACATTTTTTGAACTTATAGGTTATGATTTATAGCTTATAAGTTCACATAATAATAAAAGACTTGTTTGGTAAAGTCTTTTTTTATCACAAATTTATAGCTTATTTTATTAGCTTATATCTTGTTTTTCAATTGCTATTTTAAATAGTATTTTAATTTATATTTATTATTTTTTCATTCATTTTTATCCTTATTATTTTAACTAAAATCCACCATTATCCTTTATAATTTATCATAATTTAAAATAAAATAATAATTATTAAATATCTTTTATGTCATTTTATTTTATCAGCTAATTAGACTGCTAATTTTACCAAATACTTTAATTCATTTATCAACTATAAATCATCGCCTAACAATCATAAACTATAAACTATCAGCCACTAGTTATCAATTATAAACTATCAACTAACTTATGAATCAACTGTTATTTTTACTGAACAAAACCTACTCATCAAAAAAATTCTTTTTGTCAAACCATATTTAGTTTAACACTACATAGTGATAAGAGGTTTCATTCACTTCTTATCATAATAATTATGTCTTTAAAACCTAGTTATCTATAAAAGAATTTTCCTCACATCAAATTCAATTTAAAACTACTAAGTGATTTTGAAATTTTCTCTATAGCATCATTCTTATTCACACCAAATTGAAATAAGAGTGATTAGAGAGTTGAAATAAGAGTGAATAAGAGTGACTTAAGAAACGAAATCATCTTTCTCGTCATACTTAATCTATATAATAACCACAGAAATATTAACATTTTATCAGTCACCTGTTTATTCAAGATTGGTTAAAATAAGAGTCATTTGGAAGTTGAAATTTCTTCCATCAAAAGTTTTAATCAATTTTTTCTAAATCTTTCTTTATTATTATAACCTTGACTTATAAATTATACTTATTGATAAAGGGTATTCTCATCACACCAAATCTTATTATAAACTACTAAGTGATTAAAATTTTCTCCATTACACCGCACTTTATTGAAATAAAAGTCATAGTTATAATTTTTTTTTGTTGAAGATTCTCTACGACATAAAAAAAAATAATACTCAAAATGATTGTTTTTAAAGTTTTTTTTAAAAATAACAATTATTTTTAAATAAAATATGAGATGACATTTATTTTAAAATATTTTTTTTTTAATAAAGAAACAATAACTTTGAAAGGGAGGTATGTTTTTAAAGTCCATAATAGTATTTTTATAAATTTAAATTTTACTTGTTTGTTTTTCAAATATTTGAAGACACAAAACAATTTTTTAAACTCACATAATCAATGTTGTTTAATACTATTATTTTCATTTGGTTATTAAATCATAATTTAATTTTTATTGAAATAATATTAATTTAAAAACAGTAAAGTATAAGATTTTATTTATCAAATAAAAGTTTTATATCTTTTGATGACCTTGGCTTTTTTTTCTTTCTTTTTTGATTAGCTGAGCTTCGCTTTAGGATGACCATGGTTTAATAATTAATATATTATAATATTAATCAAGTATTAAATTAGTAAAATTCATTTTTAATAATAAATTACTATACCTAATAATAACTTGTATTATATTTGCTTCTATATTGATCGGACCTGATCAGGAGGGATCACGGGCTGGCCACACTCCGCTGGACGGTTATCCGTTCGCCGGGGTGAGAAAGAGGAGGGGGTGTACCTGCAAGGCACTCCGATGCCAAAGTCAGAATTTGGGCAGAGTGAGAGCAAGAACAGAAAGTTAGAAGAGGTGAATTACCTGGCCCTCTTGGGGAAGAGGGTATTTATAGAGAGACCCCAGCGCTGGGCCAACGGTCATTCGAGGTGGGCTGGATGACCAGGCCCAACCCTAATGACTGCTAGGGCTTACGTGGCGTAGTGAAGACCAGGACGTGGTCTTCGCCCTAGTTCAACCGCTCCTAGATCTCCGGAGAGTGGGTTTGACCTGCTCTTTCGGAGGTGGGCAGTTGGCCGGTGACGTGTCCCCGCGGAGGGGAGCACGTGGAGAACGTGCGCCGAGCACGTTATTCTCCCCGCGGAGGGGAGGTTCTGCCCTGACGGGATGGGCACAGGTTCTGCCCGACAGGATGGGCACAGGTTCTGCCCGTCAGGATGGGCACCTGCCTGACGGGAGGAGGTTCTGCCCTGACGGGATGGGCACAGGTTCTGCCTGACAGGATGGGCACAGGTTCTGCTCGTCAGGATGGGCACCTGCCTGACGGGAGGAGGTTCTGCCCTGACGGGCTGGGCACAGGTTCTGCTCGTCAGGATGGGCACAGGTTCTGCTCGTCAGGATGGGCACCTGCCTGACGGGAGGAGGTTCTGCCCTGACGGGCTGGGCACAGGTTCTGCCCGACAGGATGGGCACAGGTTCTGCTCGTCAGGATGGGTACCTGCCTGACGGGAGGAGGTTCTGCCCTGACGGGATGGGCACAGGTTCTGCCCGACAGGATGGGCACAGGTTCTGCTCGTCAGGATGGGCACCTGCCTGACGGGAGGAGGTTCTGCCCATGGGTCCCTGCTCATCAGTGTGGTCCAATTGGGCCCAACCTCAGTGGGATTTTGGGCCTTCTCGATTGTGGGCTAAGCCTCGGCCCAGTCCAGAACATATATCCTATCACAATTATAAATTATGACTAGAAATAGAGAGTCAAGAAACTAATGTGAATTGGTATGTTTTAATTTACACATATGCCACCGGTTGAAGCGCGAAGAAGGTTTATATAGAAACTTATTTTAACATAAAATAAAATACCTTATGTGGCATGAGAAATATAAAATGACTCCAAGCTTTGAGAAATAACTGAGATAACGGAAATTTTGATCTGCGAAAACCCTAACCAATTCCAGTGAGTTTGCGACTCCACTAATGGCGCTACTTCTTAGTTCTCGCCACTGCTTCTGATTTCTCTCAACTTTTCCGGCATTTTTCTGCATTCTTCCCACGTCTTCTGCGTTCCTGCGATTTCTCTGATTGCTGAGTTTTGTTCACGCGATTACTGAGTTTTCTTTACGCGATTGCTGAGTTTTGTTCACGCGATTGTTGAAGGTACATTGTAATATTGTGATTCCCTGGGTCATGCAATCGTGTTATTCGGTTCTAATATTGCGATTTCTTATAATTGTGTTTTCATGCAATCCATATGATTCGTACCTTCATATAGTCGTGTTGTTTTGTTGATTTCGTCCATGTATTGCCTATGCTAGGGTTAAAGAAGTAAAGAATTTGAACGTAAAAGTAAATTTGAAAAGATGATGGATATGGATGAGGCTCAAGAGTATGATCCGGAAATGATGAATGAAGACGATAACGATGAAGAAGAAATCACTCAGGAAGATGCATGGGCGGTTATTTCAGCGTACTTCGAAAGTAAGGGTCTGGTTCGTCAGCAGCTGGATTCCTTCGACGAGTTCATCCAGAACACAATGCAGGAAATTGTTGATGAATCCGCTGATATTGAGATTCGACCTGAGTCACAGCATAATCCGGGTCATCAATCGGATTTCGCGGAGGTAATACTCATTGTTGTTGTTGTTTTTAGCTTACGCAGAGTGTACATAAATTTGATGTTGTTGTTAATTTGGTTTTTGTTTTGTTTGCAGACGATTTATAAGATAAGTTTTGTTAATTTGGTTTTTGTTTTGTTTGCAGACGACTTACAAGATAAGTTTTGGCCAGATTTACTTGAGTAAACCGATGATGACAGAATCTGACGGAGGAACTGCTACCTTGTTTCCTAAGGCAGCTAGGTTAAGAAACCTTACTTACTCAGCCCCTTTGTATGTTGATGTTTCTAAGAGGGTTATTAAGAAAGGACATGATGGTGATGAACTTACTGAGGCTCAAGATTTCACCAAAGTTTTCATTGGCAAGGTGCCCCTTCTTCCTCTTAATTCTAGTCTTTTACATGATAAAAAAGGGGTGTTTGGAAGAGTTTATAACTAATTTTGTTACTAAAATATAAATTACATGTTCTTTAAGAATTCATTTTCAGTTTAATCCAATTCCAATTATAAGCTTAAACTTCCATCTACTTAGGCCCTTCTCCCACTACGTTTTTTTGTTGTTTGTGGCATTCTCTCTTATTTACATCTTCAAGATAGTCAATGGATAGAGCTGTTGATGCATTCTTCCTTATACTGGAATAACATTTTAATCAAGTAATTTTAATGATTATAGACTGATATGTAGACAGTTATAAGTAGATTGCTCTTATTTTGTTGTTTTGTCATGGTGTAAATAAGATTATAATTTATCTATGACATAAATGGATGGCGAATATAAATGAATTGGGCAGTTACTTAACTTATGATTTTGTTGTTGTTAGGTTCCTATAATGCTTCGGTCTAGTTATTGCACGTTATTTCAAAATTCGGAGAAGGATTTGACTGAACTTGGAGAGTGTCCCTATGATCAAGGCGGATATTTCATTGTTAATGGCAGTGAGAAGGTTCTCATTGCTCAAGAGAAGATGAGCACCAATCATGTCTACGTCTTCAAGAAAAGGCAGCCTAATAAGTATTCTTATGTGGCCGAAGTTCGGTCCATGGCAGAGTCCCAGAACAGACCACCCAGCACTATGTTTGTACGCATGCTCGCTCGAACTAGTTCCAAAGGGGTAAATGCAAATTGTTGTATATTTATGTCCGTTTTCTGCAGTTTATGATATGTGATCAGGCTAGTTTTGCAGATGTTTTGATGTCTTGTGCATTGTTGAAGTTTATGCTTTTCGTCCTACCAGGGTTCTTCAGGGCAATACATACGAGCTACTCTTCCATATGTTCGAACCGAAATTCCTATTATTATTGTGTTTCGGGCATTGGGATTTGTCGCTGACAAGGATATACTTGAACATATATGCTATGACTTCTCGGATACTCAAATGATGGAGTTGCTTCGTCCTTCCCTGGAAGAAGCATTTGTAATACAGAATCAACAGGTTGGTTCCACTGTTGTTATAGATTATTATTTGCTTTTAAGTAAAATGATCATTGCTTCTCTAGCTTTTGAATTAATTTCGAGGGAGATCATTGTACAATCCAGATTTATTTTCGGGGGCTGGAGTAGTAATATGATTTTGCAGTAGCATTTTTACCTTTCTTTAAGTTTAGATGATTCAAAACTGTTTTTTAGCGAAATATTGCATTGTTTGGCACAAAATTTGAATGACACGTCATGTATTTTGTATAGGATGATTTTATTTCACTTTCTTATATATTCATTTCACTCCAGGTTGCACTTGATTACATTGGGAAAAGAGGAGCGAATGTTGGTGTAACCAAGGAAAAAAGAATAAAGTGAGTTGAGCTGTTTCTCTGTAAAGCCTGAGAATGATTTGTTTCCACAGATTATTAAACAACTGTCACACTTGTATCCTAATCCGCAGGCATGCTAAGGACATCCTTCAAAGGGAGATGCTTCCACATGTTGGTGTTGGAGAGTATTGCGAGACCAAAAAAGCTTACTATTTTGGGTAAGTTAGTTACTTGTTTGATCTTGTTACTTTCACCGAATATTTATTATGTTTATCATTGCCTCACAGATATATCATTCACCGGCTTCTACTGTGTGCACTTGACCGGAGGGCTGAAGATGATCGAGATCACTATGGAAATAAAAGGCTGGACCTGGCAGGTTCTTTGCTTGGTGGTCTCTTTAGAAATGTCTGTTTCTCAAATAATTGATATGATTCCACTTTATTGGTCTTGTTATTTGGTATTTTTTATTCAGTAATTCCCAGTTCCTAAATTTGTAATGCAGCTATTCAAAAAGTTAACTAGAGATGTCAGGGGTTATGTACAGAAGGTCTGTTCTACTATTTGGCACATTTGTTGCAATATTTATTTTGCATTGCCTATATCCTTCTACCTCATGAATGGTGCAGTGTGTTGATAATGGGAAGGATGTTAACCTGCAATTTGCTATTAAAGCCAAAACCATCACGGGTGGACTTAAATACTCACTTGCTACTGGCAATTGGGGGCAAGCAAATGCTGCGGGTACTAGGGCTGGAGTGTCACAGGTATTATTATGAATTATTTTTATGCTTCTACAGTCGTGCTCCTTGTCTTCTAAATAAGAAATGTGATATTGACACTTAACCTTTTCTTTCTATGCTTCAGGTGCTAAATCGCTTAACTTATGCATCCACTTTATCTCACTTGCGAAGATTAAATTCTCCCATAGGACGTGAAGGTAATTGCTTGGCTTAGGCTATTAAAACATGACCCAACCTTCAACCTTTTCATCCCCTTTGTGCATTATTTGCCTAAATTAATAAAAATCAATGCAATATGGTAACATGTTCTCAATTATTTATTTAGGAGTTTAGATTTAGAGTTGGCACTGTTGTTGTTTTTTTTAATAAATAATGTTTGTCGAAGCTGTATTTTTTTTTTTTGTTTTTCTTCTCCCTTTATTTCAGGGAAGTTGGCCAAACCAAGACAGCTGCATAATTCACAATGGGGAATGATGTGTCCGGCAGAAACACCCGAAGGACAAGTTAGTATTTTTCTTTTCAAGTTTCCTACATTACTACTTGTTATTAGGAATTCATCTATGTGGTATTTATGGGTGTGATTGGGCTATTGTTCAGGCTTGCGGACTGGTGAAGAATCTGGCCTTGATGGTCTACATAACTGTTGGTTCATCAGCATATCCAATTCTGGAGTTTTTAGAAGAATGGGGTACAGAAAATTTTGAGGTGCTTGGGATTTCCTGCATAAAATTATTTTGTTTCATTATTTGTATTGTCTGTGTATAAATTTGTTTATTTTGCCATGTAGGAAATTTCTCCTGCGGTGATTCCCCAAGCTACAAAAATTTTCGTAAATGGTTCCTGGATGGGCATTCACCGTGACCCTGATATGTTGGTCAAAACACTGAGAAAGCTGAGACGTCGGGTAACTGTTCATTTTACTTTTCTGATTTCGTCTACAGTCCAAAAGGTGTTTGAATTTGTTGGCAAATAGAAGCCCTCTCAAAAATGAAAATATCAAAATGTAGTACATGTAATCTCATTGGAACATGATATTGCAATTTTGTATATATCCCTTCTTATAGGAGAATGATATGTGATCAGTATACAAATACTATTTGTATGCCTTAGAGGCATTGGTTAAGGATTAAAATTGAATTTATTTATTGGAAAATACAGTTTGTTAAAAGTTAATTGCATAAATGAAGCATTTTTTTAAAAGTAGTTTGTGTTTCTTGATTCATACTTTCTGTTTCTTGACCTCTTGACAAAGGCCTTTAACAAGGACCTTATTAGAATATTCTCTTGGGTGAGATATTTGGAAAAAAATCTTGCATGGATAGACTATTATTACAAGATAAATGGCAATGAGATCTTGTAACCATAACGAAAGAAGAAATCATCACCCGTTATTTTTCTCCTGGTTCTAAAAATTAAATAACAACAAGGTCATCTTATTTAAATCAGTCACACCCATTTTTTATAGAAGTATCTATCATATTACATCTTTTAGAGGGAAACTGTAATATCGGCCAAATTTTGAAATAGTTGCTATATTGATTGCATCTTATTGAGCCACCCCATTCAATATCTATTGACTTTATTTTGGGAGTTGATTGTTTGAAATTATTTATTTGTTTGGTCACAGTCTGTGTTAATTGTAGCTCAGTGCTGATGGCTTTCATATCGTGCAGGTTGATGTTAATACTGAAGTTGGGGTTGTTAGAGATATCCGTCTCAAAGAACTGCGCATATATACAGATTATGGTCGCTGCAGTCGTCCTTTATTCATTGTGGATAAACAAAGGCTTCTCATAAAGAAGAAGGACATCCTTTTTTTGCAACAAAGGGTGAGTAGAAAGTAGTAACTGTAGTGCATCGGAGGAATCATTGTTGTCTCATTAGTTAATTAAATTGTTTTTACATTTCTTCAGGAATCCCCTGACGAAGGCGGATGGAATGATCTTGTGTCCAAGGGATTTGTAGAATATATTGACACCGAAGAGGAAGAGACTACTATGATTTCTATGGCCATTAATGTCAGTACTATAATTCTAAATTTGCAAAAGTGTATACCCTTTATGAATACATAAATGCAAATGATGAATATGTACAGCCATTAAAAATATGATTATTTGATAAATATAACAGGATCTTGTACAAGCAAGGCTCAATTCAGATGAAGCATATTCTGATACTTACACTCACTGTGAAATCCATCCATCACTGATTTTGGGTGTATGTGCTTCCATCATACCATTTCCTGATCATAATCAGGTAAGTATTGGTATTTTACTTTGTACTTAGTTTGATTAGTATATGGGATTAATCTTACATTTTGTGGTGCAATCAGTCCCCTCGTAATACGTACCAGTCTGCAATGGGAAAACAAGCAATGGGAATATATGTTACCAACTATCAGTTTCGAATGGTAATGTTCACTTGTTTAAATGATTAAAAGTGTGCCTATTCTTCTAGTGTGCTATACTTGATACTTTTGCTTCATTTCTTAGGATACCTTGGCCTATGTATTGTATTATCCTCAAAAGCCACTAGTCACTACAAGAGCCATGGAGCATCTTCATTTTCGTCAACTCCCTGCTGGAATTGTAAATTTGAGCCTCCTTTATGTATATACGATTGTGATTATGTTGATATGGTAAATATTTGTTCTAATATAATTTACCTCTTCTGCCTTAGAATGCCATTGTGGCCATTTCATGTTATTCTGGTTATAATCAAGAAGATTCTGTCATCATGAACCAATCATCAATAGACCGTGGCTTCTTTCGGTCTCTGTTTTTCCGTTCATACAGGTGTGTTTGTGGCCCAAATTAATATAAAATTTTCTCCTTTTTATTGATGTGCTTGTGATTTTTGCATGATATGTTGCATTTTAAAACTTCTACAGAGACGAAGAGAAGAAAATGGGAACCCTTGTCAAAGAAGATTTTGGTCGGCCGGATAGAGCTAGCACCATGGTGAAAATTTTTGCTCTTTATATAAGTTAGTTTGCTATTTGATAGGTTATAACCAAGTTTTGTTTTACAGGGTATGAGGCATGGTTCTTATGATAAGTTGGATGATGATGGTCTTGCTCCAGCTGTAAGCATAAGTTTTGGCAACATCCTAAATAACATGCCTGATAGTGAAATTATATACTAAATGTAGAAATTTATTACTATGAAACAGGGCACAAGAGTGTCTGGTGAGGATGTTATTATTGGAAAGACCACTCCTATATCTCAGGAGGAGGCTCAAGGACAATCTGCCCGCTACTCAAGACGTGATCACAGCATAAGCTTACGCCATAGTGAAAATGGAATTGTTGATCAAGTAAGTTTTTGCTATATATTTACTTTCATGTGTTACAGATTGAGATTGAGCCTATATTATGAGACCGTAATAAAAGGGAAGATTTTTAGTTATTAAGAGTTATTTTATGAAAACAAAAAGACTACATCTGAAATGAAGAACATATTAATATACAAAAATATTGAATTCCTGGCATTACTTTTGCTGCTGGATTTATGTATTTCCTATTCTGTAGGTTCTATTGACAACAAATGCTGATGGACTGAGATTCGTGAAAGTAAGGGTGAGATCTGTTCGAATACCACAGATTGGTGACAAATTCAGTAGTAGACATGGTCAGAAGGGGACAGTTGGTATGACTTATACACAAGAAGACATGCCCTGGACTGTGGAAGGCATCACTCCTGATATTATTGTCAATCCACATGCTATACCTTCCCGAATGACAATTGGTCAGCTTATTGAGTGTATCATGGGTAAGGTTGCAGCACACATGGGAAAAGAAGGGGATGCTACTCCCTTTACCGATGTTACAGTAAGTAGGCATTCTTTCGCAATTTTTTGTTTTTTTAACATCAAATACTTGTTAGAAATTGGAAAACTGCTTGCATAAGTAAGCTACTTTCAGCTGCTTCTATTGGATCTTGTAAGTCATTATCATTTACCCTTCCACTGGCCGACAATATGTGCTATAGGTTCTAGCAGTAGACACAAGGAGTTTGGTACATGTATAAAACACCATAGACGCAGAGCTTAACAATGTGCCATTCAGCATTCAACTATGAACCCTAAATTAATTTATGAGACATCACAGGGAAAGTGTCTAATAATGATGTATAGATTCTATCATTTTTAAAAGGCTTTAGTCAAAATGATTCCTCTATTTGCCCATTTTGAAAATCATTGTAGAAATCTTGCTTCATAGATTAAGTTCAAGGTGGCTTTTTTGCCTGTTTAAAATTCTGATGATATTTTACTACTGTAATGCAGGTGGACAATATCAGCAAAGCTCTACACAAATGTGGATACCAAATGCGAGGTTTTGAGACAATGTACAATGGTCATACAGGGAGGCGTCTCAGTGCAATGATTTTCCTTGGCCCTACCTATTACCAAAGATTGAAGCATATGGTGGATGACAAGATTCATTCTCGTGGACGAGGTCCCGTGCAGATTCTTACAAGGCAACCTGCTGAGGGGCGCTCACGAGATGGAGGTCTTCGATTTGGAGAGATGGAACGTGATTGCATGATAGCCCATGGAGCTGCTCACTTCCTAAAGGAAAGATTGTTTGATCAAAGTGATGCATATAGGGTCCATGTGTGCGAATGCTGTGGGATCATAGCTATTGCAAATCTGAAGAAGACTTCTTTTGAATGCAAGGGCTGCAAGAACAAAACCGACATTGTTCAGGTGAATGATCATATGTCTTCTCTGGCACTATAATCCATATTGAAGTCCAAGGTGTTTTCTGCTTGCGCTGAATTCTAGTTTCTCATTTTGGCTTTTGGTTGTCTATGCAGGTTTACATTCCTTATGCTTGTAAGCTGCTCTTCCAAGAGCTAATGGCTATGGCCATAGCTCCAAGAATGCTTACTAAAGAGGTCAAATCTATAAAAGACCAAAAGAAGAAAGGCGCGTGATGAGCAAGTTTGAGAAAGGGACATAATTTGTCTTTTTTCTTTTCCTTAAAATGGAAAACTTCATAACCGCCTAAATCCCCCCAACACAGAGAATAAAAAACAAAATAATTGAGAATGTAAATCTTTTAAATACTCACCTAGAAGTAGAAGAAAATGAAAGCCAAGAGTAGTGCTGTCTAGATATGCACAGCTTAAACTAACATTGGAGTTGTTTCTTTCACTTTCTATTATTACCAATTTGATTAATTGTTGCTGACCCTTACCATGACAACAAACAATCATTGCTACACTTTTTTTTGGTTGCATTGTGTGACATTTTCTCTGTTTTGAAACCTCCATAAATTATGACCTGCTCATCATTTTCTTAAAGAACATTATAACCATGACTTGCTTACTTCCTTTTAATTTTAAGTAAAATATTTTTTTTTCCGTATCTTAATCTTGGGGTTTAATTTGGTGTCTTAATTTTAAAAAGGTCATATTGGTCTCTTAATTTTTCAAAACGTTTCATATTAATCATTTTTATCCATATTCATATGATATCTTTTTAATTCAAAATCTAATTAGGGACGGCCCGACACTACATGAGATGTAAAACGAATTTTGAATTGAGGCTTTTTATATTCTAATAAAAATGCGAATTTCAAATTGAGGCCTTTTATATTTTAATAAAAAAAACTTAAATTATTATAATATTTATTAAAAATTTACTTTTCTAGCTTTTTGAGTTGCAAATTCATTTATTAAACTATTATAATCAATTTCAGTTAACATTTCTTTTTCAATCGATAATAAAGTTAATTCATTTAATCTTTATTGAGACATTGTTGATCTTAGATAAGATTTTATTAATTTTAATTTTAAAAAACTTCTTTCTTTCTGCTGAAACAGTTACAGAAATCATTAACAATATTCTATAAGCAACAAATGCGTTTGGGAATGAGTTCAGTCTTATTATATAATTAAGTATATTAATTGGTGTATCATTTTTGACACCTATGATTTCTCTTAATATTTTTAATTCTGAAAATAAATCTAATCCATCAATATCAGAGTTGTCGTTATGTTTTAACGAATATTCAAGGTTAAAACAATATTCTTTTAAATTTTCAATTTTCAATGACCTTAATTTCTCAATAATAAATAGAAAGCCAAAAAGATCTTGATATATTTTAAATTGTTCAAATCTACTTCAAAATGATATAATTGCATGATCTAATATGTACAAAAAATAATCAGATTTAAATGATTTTTTCAGGAGTTTTTAAAACTTCATTGTCAATAATCTCATCAAATTGTTTCTTTCTACGAATAATACGTTTTTCGCGAAACTTAAACTCTATATCCATTTCGATAGCAATTTCTTTAGCAGAAATTATGGCATTTTTAAAACCATCTTCCCTGTATTTTTCAAAAAAAGAAACAAGTCATTTCAATTGCTCTATAGCAACATCTATGTCCATATCCTTTGATTGAAAGTGTTTACTAATTGAGTTTACTGCGAACAATATTTTATACCAAATAGTCATGTCTAACAAATATTCAAAATTTTCAAGCTCGTAAGTTGTCAAACATTCAACTTCACTTTTTATCTTAGGATCATCATTTACTTCACCTAATTTCAATAAAGCATCTCTTATTTGTGAAATTTGGAATCTTATAGCATTTACACTTTCAATGCGACTTTCTCAACATGTTTGTGACAATGATTTCAAAATAAGATTAGATATATGGTCTAATAGAATTTTCCATCTTTTAGTAGATGAAGAAAATATTGTATAAATATGTTGCACCACTTCAATAATTTGTCATATCACAAAATACCAAGTTTAGATTATGACAATCCCATGGTGTATAAAATTATCTAAGATTAGCATCTAAAATTATTTTTTGAACACCTTGATGTTTCCTTTTATATTAGAACCATTATCATAACTTTGTCCTCTTAAGTTATTAATATCAAGACCAAGTATATTTAGTTCATTCATAATAGCATCAAAAAGACATTTTCTAATTGTATCATCTACTACTAAAAATTCTAAAAAATACTCAACTACTTGTATTGGGGTTGAAGAAAAATCTACACATCGTAATACAATAGACATTTGTTCTTGATGACGTATATCAGGAGTACAATCAAGTATGATTGAAAAATATTGAGTCCATAACTTTTTTTAATAATTTTTGTTTTAATTTCATCTGCTAGCAAATCTATTAATTCATTTGTATTCTATGTCCAAGATAATAGTTATGAATTTCATCATTTTTTATTCGACGAATGTGCTCTTGCATTAGAGGATCAAATTATGAAATTATTTCAATTAGACCTAAAAATTTCCATTATTTTCTTTGTAAATCTTTTCATTTGTTCCGCGAAATACTAAGTTATTTTTTGATTCTAAGTAATGATTCTAAGTAATAAGTTTCTCCAGTGTTCTCTTTCTCTATTAATTCTTTTTTAATGTATTTGTCAATTATTTTATATTTTAATAATCTCATTTTCTAAATCAATCCATGAACTCATATTAACAATATGCTCATTAATCATCTCATGACTCTTTATCTTAGCACTAATATTTCTCTCATCATTACTACCTTCATGTGTTAATTTACTTGTACTAAGAAGAGTATTAAATAATTTACAACAACAGCAAAACACTTTATCCAAATTTTGAGAATAAACCAACCATCTTCTTTCACGCTTTTCTCCATTGAAAAATTGTTGTATGTAAAGTGATGAAGAAAAGTGTCTTGCATATGCATCCTTAGGAAAATCTATATTCGTAATTTTTATAGGACCGTTCTCTACTAATAAATCTCTCAAATTTGTGTCAATAGTTATCCATTGACTTGGTCATATATATTTTTATGAAATTATTCTTCTAATACTTCTTCTCTATCTTCATTATGAGTATCAAAATCGATACAATCTTGTCTATTAATCGATACTATAGTTTCATTTTCACCAGCTATTCCTTCTCTATTTTCATTAGCATCTATATTGTTAACTTATTCATCAACTACCTATTTTCGATTTTCATTTTCATCATGATTTACATTTTCATTAGCATTTACATTATTAACTTGTTCGTTCATTGGGCAATCACCGATATTTTCATTTTTACTTTTTTTGTTTGTCTTAACAAATTTGTCTAAAGCCCATTTTCGAGTTGACATTTCTATTTTTCAAGACAAGTAAACAATTTAATTAAATTTCGAAAGTAAGAAACTAAAGTAAACAACTAAAATAAAACAAATAGAATAAAAGATGTTTGCCGATAAAATTAGACAAGAGAATAAACAAATAGATACAAACAAGAAAACAATCAAACAATCAAATAATAACAAAAAAAATATAAATTAAGCAAATAGTAACAAAAAAAATCCATCACTATGGTACATTTTGAAGCAACAATGAGATTGGGCCTTAAGAAAACCCTAAGTGTATGACTTTAAGTTAAAGGTATATCCTTGACTTTGGTACCAATGATACATTCAACTTGGTTTCATCAACCTCCATTGACTTATCTTGCTTTTAATTTTAATGAATCAATCCATGGGAAAATATATCCACATATGAACAGTTGAATTAATGTCACTTTGATCATGATGAATTTAAACTTCACACAAGACATCTTGACTTTGAATTCACATTGCCTGAGAAATAACCCACTAATGCAAATGACTTGAAACAAACTCTTGATGGTTTGACCAAGATGAGGTCAAACTTCCATATGATTCTGATCATGAATGAATAACCACACTTGCTCTGGAATCCATGCCCTTGCCATTAATCTTCCTGCAAAATTCTAAACACACAAAGAAAAGGAAACAAACAAACTGCAACATATTTTTGGTATTTTAGTTAGAGGTTAGTAAATATAAACAAACATAAAGCAAGTAAGAAACACACAGATGCTTGATGATCTCCCTCAGAAGCAAAACCATAGAGGAGGACAGGAGAACCATGTTTGTGATCTTGTTGCATTGTGAAGATGCAAATGAAGTGGGATCTTAGGGGTAAAAATTAGAGTATAACACAAGTGTAGCTCGACAGAAACAAGGATGTGTCGAAATTAGCTTAGTGTGTGTGTGTGTCGAGTTGTGTTAGATGTCAAAGGGTCAAAGCAGATTGTTTGACACAAGATTTGGACTTAGACCAAAATATAAATTTTGGACTTTTGTAATTTTGGATTTTACCTTGGGGAGCAAGGTAACTCAATTATAAATAGAGGGAGTAACCTCTGTTTTGAGTAAGAAGAATAGATAATAACATTGTAACACACAACAGAAGTTCATAAATCATTTTCCTCTTCCATTATTCTATTAAACCTAATCTTCTTTCTTTCTTCTTCCATTAACAATTGTTGTGCATAATCATTCTTGTAATTAATGTGTGATTGTTGTTGGAAATTCACCTCACACCCTATGAAGAATTCCCTTCAATCTTGATCTCAAGATTGATGAACAAACCCACAATATGATAATGATGGTAATAACAAGTAATTATCAAGAACAACAAAAGAGAAGAAGAATAACAAACAAGAAAGAGAAGGATGAGAGAAGAAGTATTTGGAGAGAATGTGTTACCCACAACTGTGAGATTTCTTATTGAACTTCACTTGCTAACTGTAACTATGAAATCTGTTCTGTTGTGATGTAGAATACAAAGCAAGACACCCTATTTATAGTTTTAGGTTTACACTAGCCCAAAACATAAAAGGCCCAAAATTATCTAAATCAAATATAATCATATGATATCAAATCTAATCATATGATATCAAATCATATCATATCAAATTAATCATATGATATCAAATCTAATCATATGATATCAAATCTAATCATATCAAATCACAATGAATTATATTTAACACACCACCTAATTCATTGTGTCTAAATTGTCTACATTCATTATGGCCCTTAGTCTTCTGAAGGCTTCGACCTGCACTCCCTTCGTCATGATATCTGCAATTTGATTCTCAGTTCTGCAGTGTTCC